CATTAAATATTTTCAGTCATTTAGGTTCTATGAATTTGTGCTGCAGCAAATCCAATTACTAGCCATTATTTTTATTTTAAAATTTTAATGTCATTATAGGGGTATTAGTGCTCACTCGTCCATTCAACCATTATGTGGTCCATACACTAATAAAGAAAACATATTCACACAAATGTGAATTACACCCTCAGCCTTTTAATGGCCTGGGCCACTTTACAAAATACCCAAACGTAGCCAAACCACCCAGTTTATAACAATGAAATTAACACTTTATTTGAAAAACACACATGATTCAACTAATTTCTTCTTTAAAACTTAATTTTCAGACCTCTGACTCCAATCTACTCATACATTACTCAGCACCCAGGCCTCACTCAGACCTTATCTGATATTATCAGGGAAACCCAAACATGTAATTGTAACCATGCTTATAAGCGCAGATTATAACACCCTGACAAATGTCTTTCTACTCTTACAATCAATTCAGAATATAATGTACATCTCTTTCTGGTTACACCAATGGAATGGGATACCTTTTACATTTCACCCAAGAACATCACTCTTTTTTGTTTAGGCTAAAAGAAATAACACATGATAACACACCAGCTCTTTGTCAGCTTCAACCTTACAGACTGAAATGATCAGAAACCACAAAATACAATACTGAATCTAATTTTCAATTAATCAGTTACAAAATTTCTTCACCAGACTAAACATTGACCCTCCAGCACACTGACTTGATCAAAATCAAAATAAACAACTATTTACACACTTACTCCTCAGAATAACCATGCCAAAAGAAAACCTTATCTTTTATGATAATTTGCAAGAAATTGTTCTATCAAAATGTTTCATTTTATTTATTCTTTTCCTACGTCACCCTCTTAATCTCAAATAGTCTCTCATAGACTTTATTTTATCATATCAAGCCATTTTAACTTTATTTTATTACCCAGAAGACCTTTCTAACGTTGCTATTACACTATATTCAACTATATTTCTCAAATGGCTATTTAAATCAGAGTCCACAATTTCCTCATTCAGTTAGCTCTTAAATTAATATTTTCCTGTGTACTATCCATGTTTAACTCCTTCATTGCTGAGAAGAACCTGTCATATTCAGATCATATTTAATGTGAAAAACCTTTACTTCATCAAATCAACTTAACTCATTTAAAATTTTTAATTGCTTTATTTAATTTAATTTTAATTACATTCTTGTTGTTTACTCTAAGGTTCACCCCCAACTATTCTGTCACTGTAAAATCATTTTTAAAACCCATGTATATTTAAAACCATATTTAGTTCAAATACTTAAGATAGTTTTACAATTGCAGTGTTGTCATCCAATTTCACCCCACAAATTAAATCCTCCATTAACCAAGTACTACCACTAAAAAATATTTCCTCAAAGAAACTATCATGAAAAGTCATGCTTAACTTAGATTACTTCGATCAGCAAAAGTCCACCATGGAGAAAGTAAGATTTATTTTCATAATTTACCTTGTTTTAATGATTCTATACTAAATGATGAAGTTATTTTGTGATCCGCTGTTTGACAAACTGCAACTTATAAAATTCAAATAGTTTTTTATACCTCAAACTTTTGACCTCCCATGATTCTATACTGACACTTCAAGGCCCCCCTCAAAAAGCAAGTTTACTTTTAGAAATATTAGTGAGATGTTGATATAACAGAATGCTCATACATTTGTTTGTTTTCGTCCTCAAAAGAATCGTATGTGAAATAAAATAGTTTCCATATACACTGTAAAAAATGAAATGTTGGATTTACTTAACCATGTTATATGACCTGGTTCCACTTAACTGAGTTGAGTAAATTCAAAGAAATATACCAGTTTTTTAACCAAAGAACATTAGTATGTTGCTTTGAATTTACTCAACTCAGTTAAGTGGAACCAGATCACATAACATGGTTAAGTAAATCCAAAATTTCATTTTTAGAGTGTACACACAAGCTTAGCAGTTTAATAGTCTTTATGTTAACCTCCAACCCCCTTATTAAGTTAACTGATCCCTTTTTAAAATGTATCAATGAAACAAACATGATTACTGGTGCAGGAGTTAACAATTTTCTGCTCCAACTGTCAGAGAATCAGCTGGTTATCTAACAGCAGCTATTTGGTTAAGTCTGACTCTATTTCAATTTGATTTTAGAAGTATTAAATCCCCACCAAATTATAATTCTTTAAACAGACCAGTCCCTCACAACACCTGGTCAAACCTGCTTAAGATGTTGGCACATTAAAGAAACTTACTGCTAAACCTGTCATACCAGTAACTACCAGTGGTTTAGAAACATTTTAGATCCAACCTTCAGACCCACCATGCATAATAACACCTCTAAGGGCTTAATTTTATTTTGTCTAAGTTGACGTTTTGAATAATAATTCTCTCCAATTGGTAAACTTTTCATATGTTTATTCAAACAATATGTCCTACATTTTTCACTAGGCTACAAACACTAATCTACCATAACTAATAAATTTATCTCTGTACCTCTTTTAAAGCTGTACGAAGTTAAAACCCAAACATCTCTCTTTCCCATTAGTAATAATCAGTTTGCTATTTTTCTCCCTTTGCTTTTACAAAACTTGTTTATCAGTAACCATCAACCCTGTCTTCCATTTCGGCTTTTATAAAACTCCGAAGACTCTGATGTAGTCACAATACCCCATATATTAGATCTTCCTCTAACCTCATCGTATGTTAAGCTAAAATTAACATCTATTTGTTTATAAATGCTTTTGACTGTTTGTATAGTATAAGTTTTTCACCTTATTTTATTAATGTCCCGCTTATAACTTTTACTCCCATACTTTAATTTGACCTGTCGCCTTGTTCTTGTTGACTCAAACACAGTGATTTATGTATATTTACAAATAGGTTTATAAGTAGGACGAATCAATACACCTAAATAATTATGTCATTTTTCAATGACTTTCTCTTAGTCTTTATTACCCTCACAGACTAAATTCATCAGTTTTATCACACAATAAACCCATTTGTGTACATGGTGTTTCTTAAGATCTTAGAATTTTACAACTGAAACCATACAGTACTTTAAATAATCTAATTCCCCTGCTTATAACCTTATTTTATTTTTAAAACTGAGTTCCTAAACTTAAACATTTACCTGTTTTTCTCTTGGTAATGATATCTATTCAATTATCTCTAACTATTATCATCCCTAATATTCAGTCACAACACTAGTCATAATAAATTTAGGGTTTACATTAATGTATATTTTTAGTTATTTATTTACTTATTTCCTTTTAAGTCAGTCAATTTTTTTATCAGTTTTACTTTATACCTTAAGTTTAATCAACCTGTATATGTTTCAGTTAAACGATTTTTTAAAATGACATACCCCATTAGTCATAATCAGTCTTAAACCACTCATCCTGATCTGTACAGGGTAAACATCATTATCCCCTCAAGTCGTCATTTCATACACAACTATGTACATGCAAGTTCCACAGTCTCTTAAGTGACCCTCTTTTAAACATGTTTAATGATTCTTTATTTAAAGGGACTCTACCACAAACATTGAGAGAAGCAAATATCTCTTTGATCTTAAAAAAAGGGTAAGGCCCCTGAGAAATGTGCATCCTATAGACCAATTTCCCTTCTGAATGTGGACTTAAAGATCCAGTCCAAGATTTTAGCTATGCGTCTAGAAGGGGTGCTGCCTTTCCTTATCAATGAAGACCAAACTGGATTTATTAAAGGCCGCAACTCGTACAATAATATGAGACGGTTGCTGAACATCGTCCAGCACTTTCAGCAGAAATCTCTAAACGGTCTTGTGCTTTCTCTGGACGTGGAGAAGATGTTCGACCGGGTGGAAATACCATACTTTTTTTACACGCTGCGTAGGTTCGGGTTGGGGGGAGGATTTGCAAACTGGGTAAAACTACTGTACGAAAATCCTTCATCGGCTGTGTGTACAAACGGATTGCGGTCTCCCTATTTTAATATMTCAAGAGGCACAAGACAGGGCTGTCCTTTATCGCCACTGCTTTTTGCTCTTGCAATAGAACCYCTTGCAGAGGCCATTAGGACCAATAAATCTATGAGTGGCCTTATGATTGCAAACAGAGAACATAAGATCACTCTCTATGCAGATGACATCTTAATTGTATTGACAGAGCCTGAGATGTCTACCTCTAGCTTGATCGAAACAATTGCTTTGTTTAGCCAGTTTTCCAGTTATAAAATAAATTTTAGTAAATCTGAAGCTTTGCCCCTGGGCAGGCTAAAAAACATACCTACATGGTCCTTCCCATTTAAATGGTCACTGGGGGGTTTTGTCTACCTGGGAATAAAAACAACGCCCAATTTTGATCAAATGTACAAAGCTAACTTCTCCCCTCTGTTTGAACGTATTCGGCTAGACCTGGAGAGGTTGAATACACTTCCTCTATCCTGGATAGGTAGAATTGCTTTTCTAAAAATTAATATTCTTCCGAGGCTCCCCCCTCCCCCTTCCCTGAATGTACAGCACCATGTGAATTTATTTCTGTGAAAGGCGCTATATAAATAAAAACTTACTTACTTACTTGCTTGCTTGCTTACTTACTTACTTACTATAATGTATCCTTAGTTACAAATTTACAAGTTAAATTTGTGACCAGATGCTAACTACCACTAGTGGTAGGTAACTAATGTAGGTCAGGCATGGTTCAGCCATGTGTTTTGTTTACACTGAGTGTGTACCCACATTTTACATATCATTTTAATTTTAGATCATAAAATCTGGAAAAATACGGGATTAAACTCTTTCACATTTCACCTTTTGATACAGTTCGGAACAACCGTTTTATGTTCAATTTTAAAGTTTACTTTTAAACAGTCAGGTCCAAGTCAAACAAACAAGATGTGCTTTAACTGTTTTAAGCCTTTTTTTAATGAAGCTGTCGTGGAAAAAATTCCACCAGGCATGAAATACGTGAATAAACAAAGTGAAACTGCGTGGTCTGGTCTCAGATTATTTAATAGAAGTGCATATATGCAAGAGATCGAGTGGAACCGGGCAGACGTGATCAGGGCATCTGTCAGGTCCGCACTACTCAGAAACAGGGAACAGACAAATATAAACATCCGGTGGAGATGTAAGCAGCCAATCACAGGATGACAACTGTTAACAGAGAACCAATGACAACCGACATCTGGTACTGAGCACTTCAGAATGAGGGCGTCCTAAAAAAATATCAGGGACCATTGAAATAATTACAAGTTATATAGGCCATTTGAGAACAAGACTGCAGACGTACATACAGCATCGTTATGAGAACAGATTACACAGTGACAGTTATCAAGAGATACAGAACAGGACATGTAATATGCAGTCATCCAGAGATATATAATATACTTCCACTACAAAGCTTAACGCTCAAAATAGACGGCTCCTCTCTCAAACTGTGCCTTTGCTGCTGAACGAGTCTGAGTTATGCCACATTCAGGAACACAATAAAAAAATAAAAATAAAACGTCTTCTGACACACACATAGGATGTTCAATGTCATCTCGTAATGAACTGTTTATATTGAACCATGGAAGTATACTCAGTGGAAATATACCAAAAAAATTAACCATTAAATCCACAAAAAACACATAATCTGACTCCAACAATCTATCTCTCACAAAGAGACAAGGCTGCTCAAAAGTAACTCGCAGCCACACTGTAACTTTTAATTATTTTATCCAATGTCACTGGACACTGACGTTTCTATTTTCAGTATCAGCGTCTTCCTAATCCTGCTGGTTTGATTCAACCATCATTAATCTCATGTTGAGGAATGAGCAAAGCTGCAGCACTTTTCCCAGATGTGCTGTACGTCTGTTGTGACACCTTGGTACTGTCCTGTCTCCTGAGCCTGCTCTCACTCCATTACTTCATGTCCCACTGTTTAGTTCTGCAGAAAAGTTGCCCTTATACGTATAAGAGAGCTGCTCTGCTCTTCAGAGACGGGCACTGAGTCATCAGTCTCACTCTACGTTACAACAAACACTCTGGCTTTATTCATAACAAAAGCCTTTCTGCACGCTGCAGTCTAAATCTTTACAAGCATTTTATGTGTCTCTATGTGAAGTGCATTAATTAAACTCTTGGAATTCTTCATGGTTTTCCTAGTGATTGCCCTCGTTCCTCAGCTGCAGCCCTGTGAGGTAAAAATGGTCAGGTTAGATGTATTTCCTTTAATGTGTGGGATACAGCTTGTATAAATTAGATACCTGTGAAGAAGAAGCTGCTTTGTGAGGTTTTCCCTCAGCTCCTCCATTTCTTTGGTTTTTCTCTTCTGAATCTCCAGCTCAGTCTTCAGCTCTCTGCTGCACTCTTCCAGATCACACACAGCCTCCTGGAGGAAAGGTATGCCACACGTAAGCCCGTCATCTCGGTTTCTCTGAACCAGGCCTCTAAAGTCAGTTTTTTTTTACCTTGTAGCGACCCACATCTTCCCGACTCTGCGCGGTGATGAGTTGAAGTTTCTCGTCCAAACAAGCCCTCCTCAGCTCCAGCTTCTGGGTCTCGTCCCTCAGAGGTCTCAGCTGGGCCCTCAGCTCCTGAGCCTGCTGTTTTACGTTCACCAGTGCACCGGCTGTTGCCTCTCTCCTTTTCAGCAAAGCCAGCAACACGGGTTCATATCTGGGTGAGCAAATCAGTGGACGTTAACATGGATTGATGCTAAAACATGTTTGGGTCTGTGTGTGTGAAAACAAAAGACCACCATGATTATTAAAAAGTAAATGTGAAAAAAATCGACCACAGTATTCAGTCATGAATTAGGCCGAGCATTCCTGGGAAAGTGAAATTACTTTGTTGCTTTACTTAAGTTGTAATTTTGGTTATCTATACTTGAATAAATTTTTTTTCAGCTCATGTTTTACTTCTACACTCAAAAACTGTCCATCTAACCAAGTCTTACAATTTTATATCCAGGGAGAAAGTATTTTTGATCTTGTTTTGAGACTGATAAACTAGACAAGAGCAGGGTTAGAAGAGATATACAGCGGGTAAAATAAGTATTGAACACGTCACCATTTTTCTCAGTAAATATATTACTAGAGGTGCTAATGACATGAAATTTTCACCAGATGTCGGTAACAACCCAAGTGATCCATACATACAAAGAAATCAAACCATAAGTCCAGAAATGAAGTTACAGTGGTTTGCAAAAGTATTCATACCCCTTGAACTTTTCCATATTTTGTCACATTACAAC